TAAAACGCTGCTGAGCACTATTTTTTTAAAGCATAAAATGTTAATTGAGCTACAGCTTGACCCTATTCATAATCAAAGATTTTAAATAAATAAATAAAAATGCATAGACAATTGTAAAATATTCCCTCCCCTCCCCCCCAGTGGATATTCTTAGCTGCTCATTATAAGGTTAAGGAAAAGCCCCCTATTGACATTATCTTGGGGCGGGGAGGAGAAGAAAGGGGTTGGAAAGGCTTAGATGGCTCCCCCACACAGAGTTTATTTAAGTTTAAAGTAGCTATGGGTTATCTCTGAAGCTCACTTGTATAGAAAAGATATTACAAAAAGTCTGGCTATGATGTGCATTAATTTAAAAGAGCCCTGCAATTTCAACTTCTCATGTTTGCATACTGTTGGGAGATGTCCCACAAATAGAAAGGAGACTAACAGAGTACACTTGACTCTATGGAAAATCCCCTCCCCCCCCCGAGATTAACAGACACTGTCACCTAGATTAAGGTGCAACATTTTGATCATGCATAGGAAGCAGGAAGTGAAATTAACTGGTCTAATTTTACTTGTCAAATGAAATACAAAAAAATAAACAACATCAACAAGGAACAGTAAATCAGTATTTTAAATACTCTTGATTTGAATAAATAAGGTGTTCTTAGTTACATGGTAGGAGATTCTCTCTAACCATGGTTTATTACAGCTGACCAAAAAAAATGGCAATTATTTTTCACAGGATATTTGGGGGGGGGGATTGTTTTTGTTTGTTTGTTTGTTTGTTTGTTGTCAAAATGTCCTGAGAGAATTTTTTGGTTTTTCAAAAAATAACTGTAAACAAAATTGCGGGTGAGAGGGTGCGGAGAGGAAGTTTTCAAAAACAGTTTTTGATCATAATTTTTTTACTGAACATCTTTTGGTTCTGATTGTTCATCAAAGTTATTTTTTGTGAAAAAAATAAATCAGCCAGCTCTACTGATCCATTTGAAACCACACCAATGCTCACACCCATGGGGGGCTCTGCATTCTTGTTAGACCCCTGAGGATTCCTCTTGTTTTTCCCTACTTCTCTGCTACCCAGCTGTGGCACTGTCATTGCCTTTCCAACCCAGAATAACTGCACAGAGTCCTCCCCAGAGCTAGTCAACCCCGTACCTTTAACTGCTAGAGGGGATATGGAATAATGTGAGAGAAGTCACTAGCTGCTGCAGCTCTGCCACTTCAGAGTTAGAAGCTGGGAACGATGCCTATATGTCCTGTATGGCAGAGGACAGCTACCAGGTTGCTATGATGAATTTGCTCTTATTGGTGAAACTCTAGATGAGCTATGAAATATTATTTCCTGCACAGAAGCAACAAATGTAATCTTGATTATGAAGTGTCATTTTTTTTAATGTACACGTGGTAAAAGATGAAATAATCTTCAATTCACCTGATCAAGTTGTACAGAGTTAGCTGCTTTCTTCTATAAATACAAATTGCAGAGGCTTTTTTCCTCAGGAATAGTCTTCAAGTGCACAAAAAGAGGTATGATTATAGGGCTTGAAGTATGCAGGAGAGTGAGAAAAAACAAATAGGCTGCATAACACGAGCATGTTATGTTTCTCTGAAACACGCTAAATGTACAAAAATTGTTATGTTCCTGGATTTCTCTTTCTACAGAAAATAGTCTGTGCATTAAAGAATAATGTGGAAGGGTTTCCAGATTCCATTTTACATAGATGACACTGTGGGTCAGTTGCAGTATAAGAAAAAGGGGAAAAAACTAAATGGACATTGTATTTGGAATCTGACAGTCTAGATTTGATGTGGTGTGAGTATTATGCATAACTTCTGTTGAAGGCTTCACTGGTGTGAGATAAGAGTATTATTTACCACAGTCCTTTGGACAAGAAGGATGAAGAATTCCATAAAGCTGCTTTCCCCTTCCCTCAAGTGCATATTCCCATATATTCATGTTTTAAGGATAGCATTTTTTTAAATTACTTAAGGTTTGCTTTTCTTTTTGAGATCCAAAAGATAAAGGTCTAGGAAACATTAGAAGCTGAAGGGGCAGAACCTGTACAGTTTCACTGCAAATAAATAAATAAAACCAAGTTTTAACCTAGTCTACATGATATAGTAAGAACCACATATATTACCAGTTGTCTCAAATGTCTCTGTTCCCCCTCGGTATAAATATGCATGTATGACCAAAGATGCACTTAATCCAGTGGCACACAGCTCTAGCAGCTCCATTTACAGTTGTTCTAGTAATAACCAGGAGATGAATGTTTTAATGAGCACTGAGTTCCACTGATTATAGTCTCTGTATTGGCATTAACTGGCAAAAGTCTCCACTTCCGTTGCTGTTCAGATAGTGCAGAACTGGTGAAGGGATTATGGGCATGCATAGCTTTGGGAAGATACTGGGGAGCCTACCCAGAGGGCCTGCAGTGCCTGTGCACCATGAAGCCTGTCTTTGTGGTGGTTCCACACAGCAAGGATCCAGATGGGAAGAGTATTGTTGTAGGGGTGCAGTTTCACTGGCTGCTCCCTGCCTCAGAGGACAGATGCAGTAGTTACTAAGGACTAAAGCAATGCAGAATCCAGCGCACAGCAACTGAAAATAGGGGGAGATTTCCTTCTTTCCAGTCTCTGGTTAACTCCACTACACCAAACCGAGCTCCAAGTCTTTAATTCAAGCAATAAGATTTAAGCCTTAGTCAATATGGCTGAATCCAACACATTGACCTACATTGTGAATTTTGCATCAGTGGCAAAGTCATCATATTTTCATAAATGTTGCTCTGGAGCAGTCTTGCCTAGTGGGTAATGCACTAGAGTGGGACTCCGGAGACCTGGGGTCTTTTCCTGGCTCTGCTATTGTCCTGCTGGGTGAGCTTGGACAAGTCACTTCAGCTCCCTGTATTCCAGTCTCCCCATATGTAAGATGGGGATACTGATACTGCCCTCCTTTGTAAAGCACTTGGCAATCGATTGATGAAAAGCAGTATGAAAGAATTAAATATTATTGTTTTTATTATTTATGATGGTTTGAGAAAGACCGGGAAAGCTTTGCAGAATGTAGATCTCAGCCCTACTGAGCTTACTTAGACAAGTAGCTATAGCCTATTATACCCAACTGAATGCTCTTTGTAGCCCCTCCTCTGAGGTGTGGTTCAAGCCTCCTCCCTGGTGACCAATGCTGCAGCACTGTGAACGGAGCAGCTTGAACAAAACAATAGGGTTCCTCTTACAATGTCTTTGCCTCTCCTGACTCCCTGGTCAGGAGTCCTGTGGAGGTTTCGACTGGCTCTCAGTTGCAGACACCAGGCTGGATCTCTGCCTCTCTGGCGTCTGTAGAGCTGGAATTGCCCTCACCCATGCACTAGACCCCACAGCACATCGAAGTCTCCCTTTGTGGGGAGTAGGAGTTAATTAGACTCCCTGAGCTCTTCTGCTTCTCTCTGAGCTCCAACACAAAACTGAAATTAAACCTAGTCTCTTTGCTTCTCAGTCAGACTGTCCCCTCCCACTGATTCACCATTGGCCCAGCAAACTCACCCCATGCAGAAGCCTCCCTAGTGGCCTCTGCAGGAATTGCTAGTTCATACTGTCCCCACTCCTGACTCCAAGCATGCTGGAAATGGTGTCGGAGGGTGCTAGTAGCCATTATTGCTGTAGTCCATAGGGTAGGATCCCCTAGAGACTAGTCCAGAGTTCCAGAAGCTGGAAAATT